TATTTTTCATGTTGAGGCAGTGATTTCATAATTATAAAGGTCATTTGTATACAAAAATATATAAAATGTAGACGGTCCAGTAACAACAACACTTTAGGGAATGACGGCACGGTGGCCTAGCCACCGAAACATGTCGATCTCAATAAATTACTGGAGCATTCCTTAAAGTGTTGTTGCAACTGGACCTTCTACATTTCATGTCTTTTAATCGTAACGACCCTGCATACCCGAGGTATCCACTTTATGGAATCTACTGACAGAAGATTTACCAGGTGTTGGTTCACTTGTGTTTAAAAAGATATAAAGTTTTATTTCGAAAACCAATGATTTTAACAGTCAGTTGTATACAATTTTTAATGAATTTGTATATCAAACTAGTTACTTCATAAATACAACTGTTGCAAACATACACTTAAAGCTCATATATTAGCCCCATTATGTTAGATGTATGGTTAGATTTGAAAAAATTTTGACGCGATTTCTTAAAATGGCCAATTTAGGAAGAAATTGTTAACTTTGAAACTTTGAATTGTATTGGCAGGATTTGATATCTTATATTATCTTGAATGTTGGAATGAATTACTATTAAAATTTGTATTTATAGTGTTCGGAAATTTTTTCAAAGTAGTTTCATACAGATTTAAGGAATTTAAGGTGGGAGTATTAGACATATTACATTTACTGTAAAGGCAAAGATAAGAGTGTATGTAGTAATTTATTTTAGGCTATGATTCAAAAATGGCTGATTCACTAACTCCGCCTCTTTTGGGGAGATACTTAGTATTCCTAGATATTTTCATTTGTTTACCGACTTTTTCCCAGATATGATCTCCTTGTTTTATCTCATATCATTTCCTTTTAAATCTCATTCAGACACAAAGCTATCAATTTGAGTGTTCAGGAAGACTTTAATTAAAGGGAGGAAGTACATATATATGTTGACAAAATGCCACTCAACCCTTTGTTTTGAAATTAGCCAAACATAAGTGATGCATGTGAACTTTCAATTCCAGCATATGATTTAATTTTAAACTTCATAGTAAAAGTGGCATAGGTTTTTCTATCCTCAGGCATAGATTGCCTTAGCCGTATTTTGCACAACTTTAGAATACAATTTTAATGATCTTTAATTTCGTATTTGATTTGGCCTTCCAACTGTTTTGATGCGAGCGCCATGAATGAGTCTTAGTCAGACGAAACGCTCATCTGTCGTACCAAATTATAAGCCTGGTATCTATGGTAAGTTTTTAAGCGTTCAAGGAGAAAGAGATGATGGTTTATATGGTAGTGAGACAGCAAAACGAAATAACTAAATAAACGCAATGTCTTTATAAAATATGCAAGGAGTCTATTCAAATCTTTAAGGTCTCAATCGTCTTTAAAGTTGTGAATTGATTATAAGAACAGAATAGAAGCTATCAAGGATATGCCATCAGCACAACCTTTTCCCATATAACAAATAATGTTGCGATGCGAAATTTGACAACCATATACATTATTGTTAATCCAATAGATTGTAAATACATACTTCACAACATATCCGCAGATAAAGTTCAAATCGATAAAAAAAAAATGTTCTCACCTATAATATGTACAATTGAACAGAATTTTTTTTCAAAGAGTTTTTGAAGTTTGCTCTCTGAAAACGTTTGAAATTGATGCTTTTTCCGATCGACTAGATGTACCAAGTTTAAGCGGCAATCAAATCCTACATGACAAAAAGTAACAGCAAAAAAATGTATTCACAAAACACTTTAACAAAGAAAATCACAGTTTAAGTAACAGAAAGAATAAAAGGTCAGTCTTTGCAGGCATATCAGTTTGTTAAAATACCCCGACCTCGAGCGTCTCTGAAGAGACTTTATTTTCTAAAATGCGAACCTAGTCCTCATTACGTTGACCACAAAAAAAAACATATATTTTTAAATAGAATGTCGCTGATTAAGCTTCTTAAAAAAGTAGAGTGATATATGTCTTTTGTCTTTTCATACCCTTTAATCGTCACGAATAAGCACACACTAATTGCCACTGGTAAGCAAGCAAAAATAAATCAAACAACATATCCCTAAGACATTTACAAGTACAAAATGAAGAAATAACAAAAAAAAAAAAAAAAAAACTATCAATAAGTTAAGAATATAAAATCTCTCTTGAAATTACTAACCATGGAACAAAGGATAGTCCTTGAAAGGTTGAACATCTACATTTCAGCAATGTTCCCACTTTGACAAAATCTTACATTTCATGAATAAGACTTCAAATAGAAAAAAAATCACGTAGTAAAGTAATAAGCTGTGTTTTTGCAATAAAGTTATGCAATGTGTTACACTGTGACTTGAGTAAGCCCTTTATACCTTTTTGTAATATAATTGTCTTTAAATAAATCAAACCAGGGTAATCGAAACGCCCAACTCACACTGAAACAAGTTTTATCATTTCATAATCATCTTCACATATGACTTTCAAAGAACCATTATGCATCACAATACCTTAAACTTAGATTTCATTTTTTTTTAAATCTCACTAATGATCATTAAAATGACAAATGTTCTACAATTTTAGCTGAAACAGAATATGCATGTTACAAACATTTATTTTATTTCCTCGGACGTCTTACATACCATGCCAACGCACCTGTCTCCTTATAGTTGTGGAGCTTATACCATACACTAAGGTTTTGTTTTATTTTGATATTAACCTTCTTACTGAATTTATGAGATTCCAACAGTAGTAAACTGCTGTTACCTCTAAATCAATATTACTACATTGAATTTCGTAACTTTCATAGTTCTCTCTAGATGTTTTATAATACGGTATGGAGATTAAACCATCTGTCTTGATATGTCATTTTGACTATGTAGTTCATTCTTTATCACATTTATAACATATATTTTAAAAATGAACTCCATTTCTATTAAAACAGTTGACGACGTAATTACAAATCAAAGAGAATTGTAAATTATTGTACAAGGACAAAATTTCTATTAGAAAACATTACTTTATTTTGGGATATTTGTAAAGTTCTGTTTTTCATAAAGATGGAATACAACATTTAGCACATATCAAATTGGTATATGGTAAGAGTGGATAATACAGGTTGAGAGAATGCAATAGATACTCAAAAACAGTGAAAAAGCAACATAAATTTACCAGTGCAGAAAATTAAATACCGAATTTTGGTTGTTAATTACTTCCTATTAATATTCTGTCCTTTTTTATTAGTTAATAAAATAAACAGATAGATGATTATGAAATATGTCACTTTATTGATAAATTTGTGCATATAAACACTGCAATGTCTTTAACGTTAATTAGTTGTTGATTTCTTTCCTGCTGCGTAGTTTGATCAATTACTAGTTAATTAAAAGTTAAGAAAGTCCTTTCATAATTTGAACATTTTATTGTTACTTCTAAGTACCTGAATCTTTCGTGTTTTATATACAAAAATTTATCTCATTTGAATATTAAAGTATATTTTGTGTTGAACAATGTTGAAGAAAAAGTGAGTCATTTATCTCCTTTAAAGATTATCTACATTGTACTTAATAAAATCATGATAAAATATAATTATGTATTTTTTCAATGTTTTTATAACTGTCTTAACTCTATTGTTAAAGCAACATAATTTATTCTAAGGAACCTCTCACTTTTGAAGAAATAACTAATATGTGAAAAATACACTGCAAACAATTTCATCGCAATATACTGGACCTTTACATTTGTATTCATATGAGCAGAATATATAAAAACACTCCCAAAGACAAAACATAAAATATAGGGCCAAGTGTTTAAGTTTCATATCTCAAAACTTTAAAAAAAGGAACTACGCAAACGTAATTATATATTTCTAATTGCTCATTGTCAGCTTCCTGTTCCTACGTAGTAAAATATCATCTTTTCGATTGTATGACGTTTACCTTATCGACACAGCAGGTTTTAGATATTTATGTGATGCCTTTGTTTGTTTTACTCAAGCAATCACAGGGTCGATTGATTTACCTTTTTACGATGATATCCTCGTTATAAGAAAAGTAAAGTAAGTAGGTGTCATTAATACTCTACACATACTTCACTGTCTTTGGAAAATATTCACACATCTTCACATCTTTCCAAACTTTATGCGCACTATGTACACATGCCCATGAAATAGTTTAAAACTTGACCCCGTAAAATTTTGAGGCTGATCCGAAATTATAAACGTATCTCGCCACAATAAACGACCAAAAGTGCTCCTCCCTATTAAAATAAAACTAACAAAAAAAATACTCCAAACCGGAAACTATTGTTGAGGTTGGTGTTTATAGATTTTCAATTGTAGCGCTGTGAAAAGAGCAAGGTGTCTATTCCTTCAATCTTCTTTGGATCAAGCCTTCTATCAGTTCTATCTGAGGAGTCTCTTGTTTTAATATCTACTTGTACAACTTTCGTTTATTGACTTTTTATCAAATAAAACTTGTTTTACTACGCCTTCGTTTTTATATGTTTATAATTAATGATACGAGATTGAATGTAAGTAAACTACTGTTCCATATCTTTTTAAAATTCTAATGGGTACAGGTTGCCAAACAATGTTTGAATCGTTAGGAACGGGTTTCGAGCCGTAAAATCGAAGGAACGTCAACAAAAGCACTTCATTGCCTCGATCTATACGTGACATTCTGCTGTCGAGTACAAATTTCAATATATGATTTTACTATCTTTACTTCACATTACTTGCAATTATGGAAGATTGGGAGAATTTTGTATTTACACACCCAATTATGAAAGAATCAATCATTCCTAAACGCATAACTAATTGTTTTTAATAAGAGAACAATTCTTTTCATTTATTTACGTCATTTTATATTACAGTTGCATTGAACATTGCGAAGTACAAACAAACCGCCCAGTCAACATTCTCTATCGGCAATAGAAAGTCTGCAAATGCAGTAGATGGAGAATACGAACAAAATATGTGGCTAACATCAGGGTGTACACACACTGCTCTACCTGATGATCAACGTCATTGGTGGGCGGTGGATCTTGGAGCAATTTATGCTATTAGTAATGTTGTTATTTTTGGTAGAACAGACTGTTGTTGTAAGTTCTCACTCACATATTTCTTAATTTCTTTTTTGGAAACATAAACTGTACTGGTAAATTCTAATTAACACTTTACTTAAAAGAGAAGGTACGATATGGTCACTTTTTATCCCTTATATTAATATTTTGAATAAGGTCTCACATAATTGTACGAAGGCTTTAATTACATCCCAACTATTGCTGTTGAACTGACATGATAGGCTTATAATACTTCATATATTTACTTGTGGCCATACACATCTGTACATGTATTTTTATGATTTCATTCACATAGTTGAACATGTTGAACCAAGAAATAAGGTAATCAACGAAATATCAATTTCTTATAGGGTTGCGTGAAAAATGTAACAATACCACTTCAGTAAGATCCACGAAAACGCAGTTAATCCTCAATATATTGATGTCATTGATAAAGGTGAACTAAGAATTTGAGTGTTCAACGGAATACCAATTTCTTATAGACTTATGTGTTAGTTGTTAGAAAAAATCTAGTTATTCCTCAATCCACAAAAAACACGAAATTAAAAGAATATTTAGTATTTAATCTTTAATCGGGTCGACTGCTATATTGTTTTGCTATGTCATAAATGTAAACAGAGAAAAAAATACCAGAAAAAAATAATGTGAACATTTATTTTATTGGAGTGTTTAAAGAATTGTAAAATAGTTCATAACATTCGTTCTTCTCTACGCTATCATTTCAAAATAATTAAGATTTCATATTATCCATGTAATATTTATATTTCGTTTATAGATTAAAGACGAATCAAAAAGTCAGCAAATTGGACTTTGTCTATAAGTTTGCACATTAATTTTGTTTTTTGAATGCACTATGCAGCATTTAAATCACCAAGTTCAACCGACCAATGTCTTCGGGCAGGAATATGGCAGTTGATTCCTATTCGTTCCGTTGGTTGATAAAGTCTAACGTTTGATTTTGTCAGGTTTGATGGTCTTTCCCCTTTTTGAATTTAATTTAGAGTTTGATATTTATGTTATATATTTTTTAACATTCAACTAAAGTCAATTGTCCTACAAGTGGGAGGTTTAGCTAGCTGTCAAACCAGGTATAACCTATTATGTACTTCAAAAAGTACAAAGTCAGAAATATAGACAGTTTTTATAAATTCTATGTATACAGTATGTATTTCAGTTATTTTGAAGTCCTTTTGTTTGAATAAATACAACTGCACCCCTCCCCCCCAAAAAAAACACAACAACAACAAAAAAATGGTTGCTAAATTTGTATGCAGAATCGCTTTAAACTAACAACCCCAGCTTGGCTTGAAACATTATTATTTATAAGGTTAAATGGCAAGTGTTGAAAGAAACAAGGCTTCGAGGACGAGGTGTCTCATGTGTAAAATGTGTTAAACATTATAATGTTTAAATTTTGGCGGATAGCAGGAAATGGTTATCCTACGCCTTTTTTGATTCTCTCAAATTTTGTCTGTGACCTTAATATGTCTTTTCGTAATCGATTTACGAGATTTGAACACCAATAAACTTCTGTCGCCTAAAGTTTAAACGTACGTTTCAACGGAGTTTATACACAAGTATCAATTTGAGATTAGCGCAAATGATCGCAATGATATCTGTTCGACACTGCACATGTTGAAAAAGGTTGTATCAAATTGAAAAATTGCTTGTTTATGTTACAGCAACTTTTCTTTTGATTTCTTTAATAAATTTTAAACACGTTTTGTCGATCAATCTGAAGGTTGCTTACTTACGATTACAAAACGATATTATTCTCGGCATGTTTGTTTTAAATATACATTCATATTTTTAATGTGGTAAAATCATTATCAGTAATTTAAAAGTTTTTTAAATCATTTTTGAAAAACAAACATAAAAAAGTTGTATAATGAATTGTGCGAGATCGTTCTATCTATTATGTTTGGCTCTGCAAAATAATTCTAATGGCAACATTCAATGATATAAACATCAAACAGTCACATTGTCTGACGACGTTCATTACAAAACGAAACATTTTAATTTAGATTATTGTTGTGAAATCGAATGTAAAATTGATCCTTATTTTTAGCAAGCCTTTTATTCAGTATATCGCGAACAATGATCGTGATAGAAGAAGTTTCCGATCGGATAATGAATACAATTCAACATCATAATATGTGAAAAAAATTCTTAGAATATGCAAAAGTTTGGATACGTTACAAAAAAGTGTCATTCATGCGATGAAACTGCGCATTTAGTTAAATAAAAAAAAAGTAAATACGATTCATATCCTTACGCAAAGTATTATAAAAAACATATAGAATTTAGTATGTTCACATTCCAATATATCATGCTATATTTGAAACTAAATCTTCAGTGTATCTGAAAGTACATTTAACCTCAGAAATAGATTACCTTAACTGTATTTGGCAAAACTTTTAGGAATTTTTGGTTCTCAATGCTCTTCAACTTCGTACTTTATTTTGCCTTTTTAACTTTGTTTGATTCGAGCGTCACTGATGAGTCTTTTGTAGACGAAACGCGCGTCTAACGCAGATACAAAATATCAATCCTGGTATCTATGATGAATTTATTTAAGTTTAAATGGACAAAGGTTCATTTTATTAAAAGAAAAGACTTATTTGGGATGTGATAGTCAATGAATGACCACACTAAAGGTTCCGTTTACATATTGTTATGCTATATACTTATAGTTTGTTAAAGCGTTTGTTTAGTAGAATAAATTGTGAATAAACCAAAATCAAAAATGAACATCAATAGGTCGTGTTAGTCCAGTTTTCAATCAAATAAACTAAAATGATAAATTATCATATAATTACAGAATGATACGAACGCTGCAAAATAGACATATTTCATGATCTTTTTAACGATGATCTTAAAAACTATTTTTTTGTGTTCATGATCAGAAATTAAATCTATATATGAATATTCTGATTTTTTAAACATTTTGCATAAATCTCTGCAAAACAATTTTAAGAGCCATTTGAAAAAATAATTTCGAACATCATTATTCACTGAAAAGTAATTTGGTCATTTATATTAAAAACAAATAAATATGTTTGTGAACATTTTGTATGATATTTAAATGCTTATGGGCAGATCGCCTTTTGTGGTTTTGTGAAACGGTGGATGATTTAACTTTGGTGCATTCAGAAAGGGATCATAATGCTGGACGCTTTTGAAATGAAATATCATTTTTAGATTAGTTTTCTGTATCTTTCCTGTTTATAAATTTTGAATTGTTCGAATTACTTAAATAGGTTTTTGGAATTGTCAATTTGAATGCTCGTGAACTTCTTATTTAATTTGGTCTTCAAACAGTTTTGATTCGATTGCTACTAATAAGTCAAATATAGACGACAGTTACCGCTAGTGAACATAACTATATGTCTGGTATCTTTGATGAATTTTTACAGACTTTTTTTTCCCAATCACAATACTTTATTTATCACCGTTACTGTAAATCTTTTACTATCGATTGTCTCGATATTCCGAATGAAAGGCGTGTTAAGGTAAAAAAGTATTAACAAAAATACCAAACTTCAGGGTAAATTCAAAAAGGGGAAGTCCATAAAAACTAACAAGATCAAAAGCTAAACTTTATCAACTAACTGAACGAATGGTAAACAACTGTCATATGTCATAAAGATCAACATGTTAATTTCATTAATCATAAGTCAATGAAGCGAAATGTTCACAGCACATGATTGTTGACAACACTTATCTTTAGTTTTACTATACTTATGTTAGTTTAAATGTATATTACAACGTTTTTTATGATTAAAACTTTTTAATATTTGTTTTCATATAACTTGAATTCGATGTATATATATAGATATATACAAATCTAAATTGAAAACAAAGTTCAAACCTATGATTGCGTTGGATAAAAACCGCAATTTTTATACGTGTGCGTGCAAAACAAATTTTCTAATTACAGCACAAACAACATTTTCAATAAGACCAAATGAGTGAAAAAGTATATTTTAACAAAACGCATTTGACTAGCAGGTCGGATTTCGACAATTAATGTCTCTCCAGTGATGTAAGGAATCGAAACCGTATTTGGAAGGCCATATAATTTACCTCAATTTAGAATAGACTCTTGAATTTTGAAAGAGTTAGCATAGGATGAACGGATTATATAAACCCAAAAGCAAATATAATACTAGCCCAAACGAAAAATATAAAAAGTCTAAACTGAAAACAACGTTCAAACCTATGATTGCGTTGGATAAAAACCGCAATTTTTATACGTGTGCATGCAAAACAAATTTCCTGGTAGAGGTGTCTTAATACAGCACAAACAACATTTTCTAAAAGACCAAATGAGTGAAAAAGTATATTTTAACAAAACGCATTTGACTAGCAGGTCGAACAACTGATGTTCTTAAACCCTGCTGACTGCCATTGGCGATATATATATATATATATAAACGGAAAATGCAAACTTATGTACATGTATTCATGGTTGAAATCATAACTTTAAATGTTTTCTTATACAGCACTTGCAATTATATTCCACCATCACCTGCCTTTACGGTATGTAATTCCCAATTAATACGAAGGTTCGGGCCTAACTTTCTGATATGAATTCCTAGATCGAGGATTGCTGCCTACTATGGAGCTATTACACCAAGAATTATTATTGGTTAATTTGCAGAGATTGATCTCTGCAAACTCTATCATCATTTTATTGTCAAAGATTTGAAAATAACACTTTATGATGTTGGTGCGTCCGATATTTGTATTACAGACGAGTACATATGTTTTGTTGACGTGACTACGACAAGTTTTATGTTATTGTAGTCATCTTTGTTATGTATTGTAGCTGAGAGACTCTCAAATTTCAACATTGACGTCATAAGGCCATGCAAAAACTCAACTCTTTGGTTTGAAGGAGTAACATCACTATGTCATCACAGACAGGAGGCTACTATCTATCTAAATGCAACCTGTTCTCATGAGACAATCGGAAGGTATGTTCGCATACAGCTGAAAGACCCGAATGCATTAGC